CTGCTGAACAGCTATAAGAGCAAAATTTGGAGAAAGGTTGGAGTCATTTGTAGGAATGATAATCGGATACAGCCCTTGAATGCTAGTTCTCTCAAGGAGAACTTTATTGGTCCGCAGATCCTTAATTGTGTAATCGTTAATAGTAAAAGTAATAATGCATGAATTTTGAGTAGTTAATTTATGAACCAAGAGTAGATTGTAAGCTATGTTAGGTACATAATTAATATTTGAAAGTAAGAGATTACAAGTGGGCGTGGGTAGCAACCCTTAACCAGTGTGAGCGATAGGAAGTTGTTGTTCATTTCCAATGGTAATAGTGTTGTCACCTTTGTAATCTTTGGATGTTGTGAAGCTGATTTGAGGTAGCAGTAAGATGTTGAGTAGTAACGCTGTCCAAGATCCACTGGTATTTCGAGTTGGACATTGAATCAGAAACGAGAGCAGTTGTGGGCTGATAGGTATGATCATGCTTATGCCAAGGTTTAAAAGCGAAGTGCCCAACTTTCTGACATATTGGGCAAGTGATATTATTCTTCCGGCTGTTAGGGGAGTGACGAGGTTCATTAGACGGTTGTCCTTTGGATGGACTGAACTGATTTTTGGAAGGATTGAAATGTTGCTTATTTCAGTTGTAAGAAATAGTAGGTAAGTCCTTGTTCTTGCTGCGATTTAGAGCAGCCAATGCTGTAGTATTATAAACATTAGCTTCTTTTGTGGCTTCTTGTGCCAAGGTAAGTTCCTCGCTGCACAGAAACATATATAGAGCATCCAAGCTAATTGGTTGTAGATTAGTGCAGATGGACGTCTTGAACGCATGATAAGTAGAAGGTAGACCATCAAGAGCATAAAGTGTTATGTCTTCAGTGTCATGAATTACTCCAGCAGTCGCAAGGATATCAACTTTTTATCTGATTTGGAAAAGGTATTGTTGAGGTATTAAGGCAAAGTAAACGCAAAAATCGACATAAATCAAGAAGAAAAGACGGACATTTAACGAGGTTCGGAAATTTGCTACCTCCTCAGGAGCAGAGCGGCGGCTTTCTTTTTGCTTCATGACAAGAGTACAAAAATCCCCTTAGGGTTACAATACAACATATATATATAACCCTGGTATACAATATGTAATTACAAAATTACCCCTGTACTGTACCGTTGCCCCTGCACCCTCAGCCCACATAACAAAACTCCCCTCAATTGGACATATGCTTTCGCTCCACTCCACTTGCTCCGCCATGCTGGCTCGCTCTGTTCCGCTCCAAGTACCGTGGGGACGTTCCCCACGCACCCCCAACCCACATAACAAAACTCCCCCTCGGTTGGACAGCTGCTTCCGCTCTACTGTCTTGCTCTGTTCTGCTCCAGCATTTGTTCTTTATCTGGTATATGAGTCATACTTAACAGGTATTGATTTATGGTTTTATCTCTTTTTGAAATATTGTGGAGTTCATTCTTGAGTTGTAGAATGCGGGCTCGATTGGAGGACTGAATTCTTCGTTCAACAGTGTTCCATATTTCAACACAAGTTTCAAGATTAAGAAGATATGGAAGAATGGATGAGGAAACAACATAATGAAGAGCTGCACCAAGATTTTGATCCATGAAGATCCATTTGCTAAAATCAGGATTGGGTACATCAATTCCTGAAGAATCTTGGATGAATTGATTAGGACAGCGACAAGAACCATCGAGAAATTCCTCATACCCATATCCATTTGCACGAAAGAATCTCAGCACTTGTGCCCTTCAGATGTGATGATTGTTAGCTGTAAGTGCAGCTGGGACAACATTTTTAATGTTTCCCAACAGATATTTCAGTTGGGTTGGGATCTCAGACGATCAGTGCGTAAAGGGCTATTCTGATTGGTTGCCACATCGACATTGATTGACGAATTTATTTGCGTGCTCATGAGCGGAACAGGGAGAAAAGAAAGAAAAAAAAAATGGAGAGAAGTAGAAAAAGGAAACACCAACAGAAAATCTTCTCCAGGAAAGACAGATTGACAAGATTTAACCGATACAAAAGTCTTGCCGAAGTATCGGCATGCAGGAAGGAGGGAAAAGCAGAATAAAAGGAGAAAAGAAGACAATCAGCCAAAGTCGAGGAAAAACAAGTAGCCAAGCCTGCAAGGAAAGAGGGAGTCACTGAGAGGAAAAAATATTACATCCGGATTAAGTGCGAATGGTGTTATTGGTAAAATAACACCACAATACGGTAACACCTAAATACTACTATTTACACATGAAATTACGTCAAAACTCCTGATATAATATTTTCTCCGCCAAGGGGCTGATGCTCTGATACCATAATAACTTGCAAATGGAAGGAGGTCAATCTTATTTATTAAAAGATGAATGAAGAAGAGTCCCACTATTTATAGGATACCAGAAGCAAAGACTACAGAAAAGACAAAACACAGAACTAAAACATATAATCGGACCGGTACAGCCCACTAGTGAACCGAAACAGGACACAAAATAGGGACTTCAACATATGCCACCAAGGTGTTACAGGTGTAAATATAAACATTTGGGTGTCAGATATGTAAATACAAAAGAATTGTGTGGTGTGTATGTAAATTACCCTTTTTTTTATTATTGAACCTGAGCGCAGCTTTTTTACATTTTTGCACGAGTCATGCATGTGCTGTGTACGACTTTATAATTGTTAGAACTAGTTTCATATGCTTATTCTGGGCGTTTGTAGTATGTCTTTATGAAACAAATATAATTTCTGTCAAAATTTTCATTGCTTGAACTTAAAGATGATTGATATTATTTGTCTTTTAATTATGTAAAATTAAATAATAATAATAATAGTTTCTTGTATATTTGTTAAAAGGGAAGTTTTTCAAATTACGTATTTACATATCTAACATCCAAAATTTGATATGTATATTCATAATACCTCGGAGGTATAAATCTATACATAAAATGGTGTATTTTATTTTTTAAAAAATAAATGATGTTGATATTTTTGATGTGATGTTAAAAATTCTGAGTGATGTGTATGTAAATATGATTGTTTAGGTGCTAGATATTATAAATATATGTAAATTATGTGATATGTATGTAAATGACCCTCGTTATGTAGAATACACTACAACTCGAGCATTGCTTGCTGGCTTGCCGCCGGTGAGCCCTAGGAATGGAGCATTTTCACATCAGCTGTCAACTTTCTACTTTCCTAAGTAATTCAGAGAACATCAAGCGAGGGTAAGCAAACATCATTGCCGCCGGTTAGCCCTAGGAATTACATTAAAAATACAACTTTTAAATTCTTATATATTTATTTATATCAAAACAAAATTAAATAACATAAACTTATATGATAATAGATCTGTTGGGTTCGCCAAGCATTTTGACATCTCAATGCCATCCTTTGATCAACTCAAATGCAACTGAGCTCTGTCTTGGTCTCAAAGCTAATAGAAGTATCAAAATAGTTTCCGACTATTTTAAAATTGAACTTTAAAGCGGTGTTTGGCTGGGCAGAGGATTTATCAAATCTGAGAAATCTTATCTGCCAGCGCTGAAGATGGAGCGCACTCACAATGATGGAGTAAATCCGTTTAATCAGCCTCACAATCGGATTTGATAGATCTGGATTTAAGTTACACAGCAGACAAAATGGAGGAAAGGAAATGGAAACATCAGAGAATTGGATTTAATGGAAAGTTGGATTTTATTTTTCCTTTTTTAGGTTAAATATAGGGCTAAATACTGTTAAAAATGTGCTACGGAACACCCCTAATAGTCGTCCAGAAGGGCTATTTTGATATTGTTATAAATTTTAGAACTATAATAATCACATATAAATAATGAAGTATTATTTCGACACTCGACTCTTTTTTATATTGATGAAGAAGCATGTAATGTGTATCCCCATAAAACAGTAATCTGTATGGATCATATTTACGGAGCTGGAAGAAAGCCTGACTCTTTCGCAATAATTCCTCCAAAATCGGATGCTTTCTGCTTCCCCGCAGCTCCCACCGCCCCGCTTCTATGGCCGTGAACCTCTCTTCTTTGACGCAACAGCAGTCGTCAAGGCGGTGAACATCTGCGCCGCCAAAAGTGACATATTTCTCGCAGCTTCCTTTCACGCAGCCACTCTCAAATCCGGTCTACTCCACTCCAACCTCTTCGTTGCTAATTCCATCCTCGATGCCTATGCTAAGTGCGACCAGATGGGGTTTGCGAGTATGCTGTTCGATGAAATGTCTGATAAGGACATTGTATCCTGGACCTCCTTAATCTCCGGTCATTGCCGCAACGGTTCAGCCACTGCTGCTCTATCAGTTTTTATTGATTTGATTTCTGTTGATTTAGCAACCCCTCCAAATGAATTCACCATCGCTTCCATTTCAAAAGCTTGTGTTTTACAGGAGGACGAGAAGATGGCGAGGGCTGTGCATGGGTATTGTTTGAAAAAAAGGTTTTTTGAGAGTGTTTTTGTTAGCAATTCCTTAATTTCTATGTATTCGAAGTTAGGATTTTTGCTTAGTGCGGAGAAATTGCTCTACGGTTTGGGGAAAAGAAATGTCGTTTCTTGGAGTAGTGTTATTTCAGGTTATGTCCTCCAGGGAATGTTTAGTGAGGCGATAAATATGTTTATTATGATGTTAGAAGATGGCCTCCTTCCAAATTTTGTGACTATGCTGAGCATCATTCAGGCTTGCTCTTTGATGAATGAGCCAAGATTCTTTAGTTGGGTTCATGCATGGATTTCAAAATTGACGCTTGGAAGCAATGATTTCGTGATGAATTCTCTTGTGGAGATGTATTCTAAGAACGGGCTTCTTTGTGAGGGCATTAGAGTCTTGGTTCAGCTCTGGCCTACAAAAGGAGATGCTTTTCTTGATTTGGATGCCATGGCAGCCATCATTCGTGGCTGCATGCTTTCAAAATCTCTGCGATTTGGAAGAACATTCCATGGGTTCTTGGTAAAGAAAGGCTTCTTTCCTTGCACCTTCATTGAGAATTCACTGATAGATATGTATGGAAAGCTGGAGCAGGTTGATTCAGCTGTTCAGATGTTCAGAAGAATGAAAGAGCTGGATTTAGTATCTTGGAACAGCATGATTTCATGCTTCCTGAAGAACAACAGTCCTGTCAAGGCCTTGGAGCTTCTCACAGAATTACAACGATCTGATACAATTGACCTTGCTCCAGATGACATCACAATGCTGAGTTCGATCCAAGCTTGTGCTGAACTCGCTTCGCTGCAACTTGGAGAAATGTTTCATGGATATGCAATAAAATCAGGCTTTAATTCTGACGTGCTCTTGTCCAATGCGCTCATAAGCATGTACGCCAAATGTGGCAGGATTGATTTTTCTGTGATGGTATTCAATACCATGGATTTGAGTGATCTCAGCACTTGGAACACAATGATTCTAGCTCATGGTATCCATGGCAATGGTGAGGCAGCCCTATACACTTTCGATAAGCTTAAAAAACACAGCTTTCTCAAGCCTAATGCAATAACATTTCAGAATGTTATTACAGCATGCACCCATTCAGGATTACTTAGTGAAGGCTATGACTGCTTCAATAGCATGCAAAAGGACTATGGCATTGAGCCCGATATGGAACATTATGCTGCAGTGGTGGATCTATTTGCAAGGTCTGGGAAACTCGATGAGGCAGAGTGTTTCATTAATGAGATGCCCGTTCAACCAGGTTTGGCAATTTGGGGTTCGTTGTTGGGAGCTTGTGGGATTCATGGAGGAGTTGAAATTGCAGAGCGAGCAGCAGAAGCGCTGTCTGTGTTGGAGCCTGATGGAAATGCTTGGAAGGTGACATTGTCTAATGTTTATGCATTGGCTGGGCGATGGAAAGATGCTGTGAGGGTGAGAGCAGAGATGAAGAGGTATGGTAAGAAGAAGGAGGCTGGGTTGAGTTCTGTTGAGGTTAGTGCTGTGGAGAGTTGCAGGTTCATGGTAGGAGACACAAAGCACCCTGAAGCTGGTAAGATCTATGATGTTTGGAATATGCTGAAGGAGCAAATAAAGGATGATTCTCAGTTTGGAAATTGTGATGTTGGAGCATTGTCTATTTGATGTAGGGAATCTATTACATGCGAATATGAATGTACTGATGGATAATGATCAAGAAATATTACATGTTCACGTATTAGCTTTTGATCGTGCTTTGTTGTTCACAAGTGTGGAATTTGCACTTAATAATTTCCCGAGTTATAGGTTGTGATTTTTAATGTTTACAGGTCTGAACATGCAACTCTGTTTTTCATAGTATTACATAAGGTATATTTATTCCCGTCACACACTTCTCTGAATTGAAAAAGTTTCATCTTCTGATAGTTCACCTGCAAAGTGAGCTCTAAAGGCAACCTCTGACCAAAGAGCTCAAAATTCGGTACAGTAGCTGATAGAGTCAGAGGTGAGATTCTATATTCTATAGCCTATGCGCATATGCGCCTGTTTCTTATGCCATGGAAGTAGGATCGGGGTGCGTCCTTTGGTAGGCCTGTTATCGAAGGATGTCAGCAAAATAAGAAGAACTAGAGGCTCAAAGGCTCCTCGGGTAGGTCAAGCGAACTTATTCATGTAATTGCTACACATATAGTCTTAACACCCACACAACACAGTAGAGGCAAGAGTTTCCTACAAAACATGGTGTCTTGCTATTGGGTAAAGGTAATAGGAGTGAACCTGACTACTTCATGCAGAGGTTCATAAAGGAAAATCCAGCCTCCTTGATTCTCCCCCAAAAGCCAACGCATGAGTTTTGTTCTCTCCGTTAACTGCTAATATCTTGTGGTCAATGAGGTTCCGGTACCTTCTTCTTGGAGGTTGGCTCAACTCATCCACATATCCTGTCCGTTGTGTCTAATATTATAAACTCAATTTTAGAGTAGTTCACACTTGGGTACAAAATGCACTTTTCTTTTTTATGGGTCCTGATATTTTACATTAATTTTGATACACATTCTTACATCTTTTGTATTATGTGTGATGTCATATTTCACAAATATTTTAGTGCTTTCATTAATTTAGATGTACATAGTTGTATACACTCTTATATAAACTAAATTAATAAATTGTACACACCTATTTACAAATATTTTATGATAATGTCTCTCTGTCTTTTGGTATGTGGCAGAAGGGAATATCCTTTTTACAAGCTTTGGTCTCTTATTTAAAATCTATGAGTATGATTACCACACAAACACAACTCAATTGGTAATAAAACCTCCTATTATAATTATCCGCAATTCATTTGCTTATACAATTTCGAACCATCCATCTGTTAAACCTAAATACTAATCTTTTTAACACTTCGACTGCAGCCTCCAGAGTCCCTTAATTCATGTGGGTGGCTGTTGTTGAATTCCTTGTTGGTATGAGGTATCCATAACATGCCGCCTTGGTGATTGTGGAAGAGTATCTTTGAAATCACTTAAGAGGGTGTCCAAATCTGCTGGGTGGGCATGGGTTGCTTCATCCTGTCCTTCGGGGATGATATGGAAGGGGAAACCTCTCATAGGGAGAATGTAAAGCTTTTTGGGAGTTATGGCTTTCAAGTCAATCATTTTAAGTCCTTAGAAGATCTCAGTGGTCTTATTTGAATAGAATTTCACTATTAGTTGTCTATAGTTCATTTCCATTGGTCCAAGGATCTTAAGCCATCACACACCAAGATGATTTGACATGCAGTGATCGGAAG